AAAATGGCAAGATACATTCTCGTAAGTGCCAGTGTGATCAGGGTTACAATCCTCTGAGGGAACACAGCTCGAGCAAATCACGGATTCAGATTGTCAGATTCCAGAAAAAGAAAACAAGAAAGGGATCCTCTTGCTAATATTTATCAGATCAACACAGGACTTCCCTTGGGATTGATCCATCCAAGTAATGTAAATGAATGTTTTCCCGATATAGCTAGATGCACACTCTAATCTTACAATTAGAGGGGACACCTTTGGCCGTGTTTTGTTAGAGCCCGGCCGGATCTATCAAAATATGGAAACACGGATTCGGCCTTGAAAACGGCAGGATACATCAGGGTTACAATAATCTGAGGAAACACAGCTAGAGCAGATCACGGATTCCGCCCTGCCTCGTTGGCAGGGGACACATAACAAAMAAAAGAGAAAAAAAAAAACAAAAAAAAAACAAGTTCAGAATGTGTAAGATGCTTTCAAGACTGTGAGCACGACCTCCTCGACTACCCTGCCCGACATCATTGCAGTACAAAGGCCTTTTTTTTTTTCATTTTTCTTTCGTGCACGGCAAAAGAAAACTACGATTTTTGGGACATCGCCGACCCTGTGTCCGAACCCCGAAAACTTCGGGTACTGGCCAGGACAACGTAATTTCCCAACACTGGCAGAGGTACTGGTGGTTTCAGCGATGAGGAAGAATACCTCCCACAGTTGATGGCGAGTGAGAGTGTGAGAAAGATCTACCGTCCTACTATTTGCACTGCAACAAAACTAGGACCGTCCAACTCCTTTGCTATCTGCGGCTCAAAAAGTCGTCGTCCTCATTCCTATACTTTCCTGACAGCTGGTAGTGGGACTTGGCCCCCATTTTTGTCCTCATTCAATGCACATCCTTTTGTCGCATAGTCCCGGAAATACGTCTACGTGTAAAAAAAGGAAGGGAGAATTTGTCTGGCGCCCCTGTAATTTCCATTACTTTGCATAGCGCCCCTCCGCAGCCTCTAACTTTCCTGCATGCCCCTGTCAGCAAGGGGCACATTTTTTGCGGCGCCCTTACTGGATGGCCAGTCTCATTTCACCCGTCCCTGTGCGATATGCCCTCATGAGCGGCATACATCTTTCCATCATGCCCTTGTGCCAGAGATTCGGATATGAAGCACGTGGTTTTGGTGGCGCTGCCCCAAAAAATGACCCCCTGTGTGTGTGTGTGTGTGTGTGTGTGTGTGTGTGTGTGTGTGTGTGTGTGTTTGTGTGTGTGTGTGTGT